CGCCCTGCTGGGCTCCAGCGATTCTTCTGCCTCGTCCTCCAAGTAGCCGGAACTACAGGCGCACGTTACCACGCTCAGCTAATTTTTGATTTATTGTAGATATGAGGTCTCTCCAAGTTGCCCAGGCGGGTCTCGAACCCACGGGTTCAGGCAATCCACTCACCTCGGCCTCCCAAAGCGCTGGATTACAGGCTGAGCCACAGAGCCCTGCCCCTCTTTTTTTTAAAAGAGTAGTTTTAGGTTCAGAGCAAAAAGGACAGAGTTCTCCTGTTTCCCGGGCCCTAGTACCTGTACAGCCTCCTTGACTATCAACATCCAGTAACTGAGTAACATGTTTGTTACTTTTTTTCCCAGTGGAATCTTACTCTGTTGCCCAGGCTGGAGTGCAGTGGCATGATCATGACTAGCCACAGCTTTGACCTCCTGGGCTCAGGTTATCATTCTGCCTCACTCAGCCTCTGGAGTAGATGGAACTATAGGTGTGTGCCACCATGCCTGGCTAATTTTTTGATTTTTTTTGTAGAAATGAGGTCCTGCTGTGTTGCCCAGACTGATCTCAAATGCCTGGGCTCAGGCAATTCTCTCACTTCGGCCTCCCAAAGTACTGGAATTACAGGCATAAGCCACTGTGCTCAGCCTTATTTGTTACTATTAATGAACCTACATTGACACATACTTACCATGCAAAGCCTAGAGTTTACATCAAGGCTCACTTTTCATGTTGTATATTATATAGGTTTGGACAAATGCTTAATTACCTGTATTACCATTATCATATCATACAGAATAGTTTCATTGCCTCAAAAATCTTCTGTGCTTCACTTATTCATCCCTCCCTCCTCTGGCAACCACTAATCTTTTTACTGTCTCCATAGTGCTGCCTTTTCAGACTTCAGCTGATTTTTAAATACATTTGATGAGTCTTAGTGACAAAGTCAGGTCAGACTTAGCAAGTCTTTTTGTATGTGTAACTTGCCTCTCGATATAATAAAAGTCATACACACCTGCCTTTGTTGTTTATTCAGGCACATTCCATTCCAGACTGTCCTACTGACCATGAACTCCATGTGTTTAATTTCTGGTCATGGTACCAATTAGTTCCTGACTGTTATTTGATGAGGGTGCCACACTACCACTCTCCTCTGAGGGAGGGATGAATAAGTGAAGCACAGAAGATTTTTAAGGCAATAAAACTATTCTGTATGATATGATAATGGTAATACATGTAATTATGCATTTGTCCAAACCTATATAATACAGTAACTGCTCTTAAATTAAGTCCTTAAGTACTGGCAGAAAAGAGCTTACCTTACAGAAATGATTTCAGTGAAAAATAAGAAAAGCTGGCACATATCCCCTTCCCAGGAGAGCAATTTTACTCTCTTTAGGAGACTATTGGAATTCCAGCTATCAGGCTGTTTATGACTCTGAGTAGATTCTTAAACCTTTAGAACAAATTTTGAACCAAGAGTACCAGAAGATCTGTTATGTATTTACATTAGTATTAGGTGAAAGTGCACAAAGTAGTTTGGTAGTACCTAGGAAGAAAGTAAAGAGAAATAATAAAGGTGTAATTGGAGGAGGGGTTTTAAAAAAGGAGAAAAAAGTATTTTATGTCTGTTCAGTGTTTGCAGGTTCCACTTTTTTTGTTATAATAATCCAGTTAAGAGTTTGTGACATTTGAGAGCAAAAGTTCAAGTATAAAAATACAGTTTCTCCCAAGTAAACCACCTGTTCTGGATGACTCCTTTTGGCTTGCCTAGAGGCAGCAAAATTGAATAGTTTTCCTGTGTGTGCACAATTAGAAAAAACACAATGACCCTCCCAGAGGAGAGTGTTAGTGTGGCACTTTGCCACTAGAGCTGTGCACTGAAGCAACTGTAGGGTCTGGGTTTCCTGACCTGTAAAAGAAAACACAGTTTCATAGATCTCAGCTCTCTGTTACCCTCTCAGCCATTCAGTACGGGGCTGAGCAAGTGCTCAATCATTGCTTGGCAAACAAGTGCTGTTTCGGATCCGTTGCAGATCCAGGCCGCGTTTTGGGTCCGACCCGGGCGGCCGTTCCAGGGGCCGATTTTCCGCCTGGGGCGGAGCTTCGCGTGGCCGCTCGCGCTCTGGGGGGCCGGGGCGGAGCGTGCGGGGGCGGGGCCTGACGCCGACGGTGGGCGGGTTCCGCGCGGGGGCTGCCCCCGGGCTGAGCTGCGCCGCCGGTGCGGAGGGAGGGCGGGCGTCGGG